TAGCCTGTAAGGTTTCTGCTGAGAAGTCAGCTGATAGCCTTATGGGGTTTCCTTTGTATGTAACTTGTCTTTCTCTTGCTGCTTTTAGGATTCTCCCTTTATCTTTAATTCTGGACATTTTGATTATGATGTGTCTTGTTGTGGGCCTCTTTGGGTTTACCTTGTTTGGGGCTCTCTGTGCTTCCTGTACCTGGATGTCTGCTTCCTTCCTTAGGTTAGGGAAGTTTTCACCTATTATTTCTTGAAATAGATTCTCTGCCCCTTTGTCTCACTATTTTCCTTCCGGGACACCTGTAACACGGATGTTAGTGTGCTTGATGCTGTCCCAGAGGTCCCTTAGACTGTCCTCACTCTTTTTAAATCTTTTCTCTTTTACCTCTTTAGCTTGGGTAATTTCTTCTAGTCTTTTGTCCAGCTTGCAGAACCGTTCTTCTGTTTCCTCTACTCTGCTTTTGAGTCTATCTAGTGAATTTTTCATTTCCAGTATTGTATTCTTCATTTCTGATTGGTTCTTTTTTATATCTTCCATTTCTTTGTTGACATTCTCACTGAGTTCATCCATTCTTCTCCCCAGATCAGTGAGCATCCTTAACACTCTTTGTTTGAACTTTCTGTCAGGTAGTTTGCTCATTTCTGTTTCACTTAGTTCCTTTTCTGGGGTTTTGTCCTGTTCTCTTACTTGGAATGTATTCCTTTGCCTCCTCATTTTGTCTCTTTCTCTGTGCTTGTGTCTATGTATTAGGTAGGTCAGCTACGTCTCCTGCTCTTGGGTAGGTGACCTTATATAAGTGATGCCTTAGGAGGCCTACAGTGTGCTTCCCTCAGTTCTCAATGTTCCAGGGGTGCCCCCTATGTGTGCTACATGTGTCCTTCTGTTGTGGCATGTTTTCTCTCCCTGTAGGTGCCCAGGGAGGCTGAGTTATGCTCCTGACCAGCTGTTGTAATGCTCAGCTGCTTGTAGTTGTTGTGGGCCCTTCAGTCTCTTTATCAGGTGTGGGGAGCCCCAGCACAGTTGGCTGCAAGTTCTAATACCACATTTCTGTTGCAGTATTTCTTTTAAGTGAGTAGGCCCCCAGTGTGGCAGGTTGTTAGGCTCAGGGGCTTACAATTGCTGTAAGCCTCCAGCCTTTAGGTCTCTTGTCAGCTCTCTGAGGATTGCAGCTGGGTGGGGCTGGCCTCAGGCACAGGAGCACCCAATTGTTTCAGGCTTTCAAAGATTCGGCAAACTCACTATGTGGGTCTTTGAGAAGCACAAGTCTTCTTCAGCTGATGAGCCCTGCGGCCCACAGGTCCACACACACAGTCAACACAGTCCTGCCCCATGTGCGTGCCCCGACCTCCTGAAGTAGACCCAGTCTCTCCATGGTGGGAGCCCCACACACTCCACCACTGCCCCACACTCTCCACCCGCTCCTTGTTCATGCCCTGCCCCACTGAAGTGGGCTCAGCTGCCAGGCTGCAGAGAGTCCCGTCACCAATCTTTGCAGGCCCACAAGTTGCCTGAGGGCTTGTTGTTGGGTGGGGCCAGTCTCTAGGGTGGGCTGCCTCCCCTGGCTGAGCTGGATTAAATTGGAATGTATTTGATTGTATTTACATTTTTATTCATTCAAACTTATTTTTAATTGCTATTGTGATTTCTTGAATCATTTTATTTTTTCTTAGTTAGCCAATTTCCCTGAATGATTGTGGTTGTGTATTGACCCCGTAGTTCTATTTATACTTTATGTATTTTGAGGCTGTGTTATCAGGCACATATAGGTTTTGAATTGTTAATTCCTCATTGTGAACAGAAAAGAGTTACTAAACTTTCATTTATTAAAATTTGCAAAATGTATATTTTTCTATCCTTTAACTTTCAAATTTTCTGTGCCTTTATGTTTTAGATGTGTCTTTGGCAAATAGCATGTATTTGGATATAAAACTCAAAATTTTAATCCAGTCAGGCAATCTTTATCTTTTAGATAATATATTTATTCTATTTACATTTAATGACATTACTGATACATTTGGGTTTAAATCTGCCATCTTTTTATTAGTCTGACCTTTTATATTTTTATTTTCAATCTCCTTTCTTGTCTTTGTTTGAGTTGATTGAAGATTATTTAAAGTTCTATTTCCCCCTTTTTGGCAGTTATATACTCTTTTAGTGGTTTACTCTAGAGATGACAGCTTACATCCTTAACTCATCAAGGGCCAATGCTAATTACTTTTACACTCTTCAACACTAGTTTCTTTAAACAAAATTCCTCTTCTATATTCTGTATCTGTGAATACAGATCCATGCAGATTTGGAGTCTATCTACATTTCTTTTGGTTGTTTCTCTTCTCCTTCATGTTGCTTGTCTTGTGTCCTGATGATTCTAGATTATCTTTTATTACTTGAGGTTAATCTGTGGGACTCCTGAGAGCCTCCGTTTGGGATGCTTTCTTCCAGAAACGGCTTGTGTCTGCTTCTGCTGGATGCCAGGGGATAATTTTCAGTCTGTTTCAAGGATCTCAGCTCAATGTGAGAAGCCTTGTTTCAGCCTACCACCTCGCTGCTGCTTATGCCTCAGTGCTTTGACTTCAGCGCCTGGTCAGCATCAAGCTCAAGGCGATTTTTTGGTGACATTGGCACTGTCTGGAGACATTTTTGGTTGTCACATTGGCTCAGAGGGATGTACCACTGGCGTCTAGTGGGTAGAGGCCAGAGAGGCTGCTAAACACCCAGAATGCACAGGATAGCCCCCACAGCAAAGAATAATCCAGTTCCTAATGTCTACAGTGCTAAGATTGATTTATCCTCAGGATTTAGTTGATATAATAGCAAACTTGATTGAGAATTAGATTGTAGACCCAATGTTTGGGTTCCACAGTTTTTATATTAAGGCTAACAAACAACTCTACATATGGATGGGGAAGTGGTAAACTTATGGTTAAACATGGTCAAGCTGATGTTTTCACTATTTTTAGTCATTCAGCATGATGACATCACAGTGCAAAAACCACATTCGAGAGGTGCTGGGCAGCTGTGTTGCCCCCATACCTGGTTCCCTGCGGGTGCTTCCTGTCCGGGATCTGTCATAGGCAGCAGAGCATCCCCTCCCTGGCTGGGACAAAGGTGGCAGCCTGAGCAGCATGGTTCCTGCACTTACGTCTCCTTTATCTAATCTTTTTTCCTACCTTTTCCTGGACTCGATTTTCTAAATCTGTTTACTTAGTACTATGAAAATAGTTACTTGTTTCAGTTAAATAGACCTATCCTTCCTTTCTTTGAGAGTTATTAAAACCATGCATTTTCTTTTTATTCTTCTAAAACCCTAACTGTGATATTGAACTTTAAAGAGAAATTTGAAATGCCACTGACTTGAAAGACCTTCTATATGGATGGGCATTTCATCATCTACCATTGAACAGTACTCCTATGCACCGATCTTGAAATAAAGAGATGGGCTTTCATTCGAGTTTAAATTTAATGTGGGCGTTAACACAAATGAATGAGAAATGCCTGCCTCTACTCTTGCGCTTTCGTCTCAGTAAATCTTCAGTGTGTGTATATGACAGTAAATTATTTATAGACTGAGTACTTGAGTCTGATTTTTTTTTAAGAAATGAGAGCCTGGGCCTACCTTATGTTCAGTTATTTTCATTTTAAAGACATGGTTTTAAAAACATTTGCATATATTTTCAGTTTTAAATTGATTCTCATCATACATTCATTTCTTCTAGGCTTTGGCACATCTCCACTTAATAGAATATGTCGGAGAACAGACTGCTTTGCTAATAAAGGTACATTAAATGCTGCAATATAATGTGCTCTAGGCACTATTCCTTTGATTTTGTAAAAAAAAAAATCTGGCAAGAATAGGTCACATTAATTATGTAAAAAAGTACAGCAGGGAACCTATTTTATCCTGTGCAGCCTAGAGATGAAGGGAGACTTTTTCCAAAGAATATGTAATTATGAATGCCTGCAATTTTGCCATTAGCTTTTAGTTAAAACCCATCTAAGAAGGAGAGCAATTGAAACACCGGTCTCAGTAAGTGAATGTGCAGAGGGCCCAGCCCTGGGGCTCTGCCAGGAGATCAGGTCAGTGTGACTAGTGTGCTGCCACCAGATGCGGACGAGGAACGGGGGCCACTCTTCTCCCCTTCCCATGGACTGGTTGGCTTGGGCATGGCTGGGAATCACTCAGTTAATTGTAGACCCCAGCCGAGGCTCTTGGTAGGGCTCGGGAAAGCCCAGGCTGGTCCTGTTTGCACACCTGGGTCTGCCTTGGTCTCCTCATGTGTAAGAGGAAGAACTTACAGCCCTCCGGTCCCTTCCGAGTCTCTCTTGTCCTAGCATCAGATCCTCAGTGCGTGTGATTTAACAATGCAGCTATGATACACAGTGCTGCTATTATCTGCTCCTTCCAGATGGTCCCAGAGGATCGGCGCCTCGCAGCTGCCATCATCCTGGTGATCTGGGTCTCCGCCATTGCTTCTTCCTTGATTGACAACATCCCATTCACTGCTACTATGGTGAGTTGCACATCTCTTCCTTGTGATAAGGGCCCAGCTTTCAGCCTGGACACAATCTGGGCTCCCTCTGCCTTCCAGAGGAAGCAGAGAATGAACTCTGACCCTTTGCTGCACTCACAAGTTTAGAGGACAGACGTGGCAGAGCCCAGACCGCAGGCCAGGAACTGCAGTGGGCGGCACGTCCTGGGGTATCAGCCTGACCGAGAGCTGCCGCACCTCATGGAAAAGACAGTCTTTTTATTTTTATTTTTTAAAGAAAACTGTAAGACACCAAAAGACAGAGGCTGGTTGCAGGCATTCATCCTTTATTCCCTATGAATTCAGAAGCTGTTCTAACCGGTCTACATGGCTTCTGGTGCCTGGCCTGACAGGACCTTGAACTCTGTGGTCCTGACCCTGGCCAGCATTGGGGATACACATTAGAGGCCTTTTATAGGGCTGATGAGCCCCATTCCTCTTCTGTCTTCTCACGTCACTGATTGCTGGCCTTACAGCAGCATTGTGAATCCCTGGTGTGCCAAAGTAAAGATGTGACAGGGTTTTGCATATAGGAACCTGGGGTCCTGTTACAAACACCTGAGGTCCCAAGTGTGCTGGGCATGTGTGAACACTCCTCACAGCTGGACTCTAGATGGGGGAGTTTTCTCTGTTGTTCTTGTGACCTTGAGGACTCACTCCCGTGCCCTGCAGAATAGTCCATGCAAGGGGGCTCCCACAACATTCCATCACCCTATATCATATTTGGGATCACCTGGGACCAAAGGAACAGAGCACAGAACCTGGCAGTGAGGACAAGGGTGGGCCAGGCCTCAATGGGGGCACTTCTCTCTCTCACAGGACCTCAGGCTGACCTGGGACTCTGCATCACTCGTCACTCACTCATTGCCTGGCATCACATGTCTGCCAGGTGACTCTCTAGTTACCTAGCTATTGTTCCTCCATGGTCTGGGTTTGGTAATTCTGAGCTAATTCTGTGGCTGTTGTTATTATTTCTTCATGCAGTCCCGAGTTAGAGAAGTCCTGTGGATGTTGTCCAGTGTCCTGGTTTCGGCTCAGCAGGCACCGTCATGACTGTGGCTGTGGTGCTGTGGCCCCTTGGAGGCTGAGGTGGCTGGGTCCTGGGCTTCTGAGATGTCAGGCCAGCTGGTGCATGCATCCTGTTCTTAGATGAAATACCCTACAGAAGATCCAGTGCATCAGAACCCTCAAGGCCACACGGTGTGGCCACAACCCCCAGGATTTCATCCATAAACCTTTCTCTGCCCTTCCTTGTGGTCCTGGGTGTCACAGCTGATATGGCCCACCTCCTCGGGGCCTTCCAGGTTTCAGGACCCAGATCTTCTCTGAGACTGAAAGATAGGGTCCCTATTGTTGGAAATTTAGTTTCCTCCATTTTCTAAAATATGACACAATATTTTCATTCCTCAAATTTTAATAGTTACTTTAAATTTAAAAAATAAATCAAAGGAATCATAGACGGTAGTATAAAATATCCGTATGCTCATCACCCCAAATGAGGAAATGTGAGCATTTTAACTTCTTCGCTTCAGGTTTTCTCATTTATTTTATTTTTAAAAAATAAAACATTGGAGGTGAATGTGACATTCTCTGTCCCTCCCCTCATCCTACAGGATAGTATCTGTCCTTCCCTCTCCTGAGAGAACTGCCCTCATGAATCTGGGGCATGTCCAGTCATTCGATGGCACACTGTGGAAGGAACTAAGGGAAGGATCTTGGTTTATATGAGTCAACATGGACAGAAACCAAATCCTCAGAGACCAAATCATCAGCTATATGCATAATTGCCACACAGCTTTTAAAAGCCCACAAATCTCTGTCAAGTGACTTCACCAGGTCGGCACTTGGCGTCCACAGCGGCTGGGTCAGAGGAGAGCATAGAGAGCCACTCGGGTTTCTGCCTCAGTCTGGAAGTGGCACCAGAACTGACCTGTCACAGTCTTGGGTGGGAAGTGGACCCATGGTCCTGCCCAAGTGCAGAGGTCTGGGAAGGGACCCTGGGTGGATACTGAGGCACACCACTTTCCTTCAATCTCTTCTTCCCTCCTTTTTATTTGCATGTCTTTTCACCACTTCTTTCTCATTTAATTGTGGTGGTCAGGGGATGTGGTCTGTAGGATTTCATACTTACACACCCCCTGAAATGTCCTTTGACCTCGCATGTGGCCAGTGGCCCATGTGTATGTGAGCAGAGTTCTATACGTGTCCATAGGTACAAGCGTATCAACTGTGTTACTAGATCTTTAGATTTACTCGTCGCTTCTCTAATCAATTGGTTCTGATAGGGCAGATCACTTCATGGATATATCTATTTCCACTTGCAATTCAGCACATTTTTGCTGTATGCTATGCTGTTGTATTAGGCACTGCAGGTTCATTATTGGTGTCTCTTCTGGATGGCTGGTTTCTTTCCCATTGTGTAAGGTCTCTCTTCATTTGTGCTCTGAGCCTCTGTCTGGTTTATCTTTTTCCAATCCTTTATTTTCAGTCTTTTGAAAAAAATTTTTTAAATCCTTTTTTAGTTGTATATTTTTAAGCAGCATGCAAATGGATTTTTAAAATTCCAAGCAGATAATCTCTGTTTTTTAAAAGAATAGTTTAACATGTTTAAATTTATTGTGTTGGCTGATGGACTTGAGTTTATTTCTACCATTTTATTATGGTTTTGCATTTATTATGCATTTTGTTTGCTGATTCTTTTTTCCCCTATCATTTCCTCACTTTTCTTGGATTGATAAATCTCATCTGCCAACTTGTTTGGAATGTACTGATTTTATTCCTAAGTCTTTTAGTGGGGATCTTTCTATTTGTAATGCATGTAGTTGTATCTGCATTTCAATCAACAGTTGCAATCAACAGAACTCGCTTTAGTTAGTTTAAAAATAGAAGTTTATTTAAGGATAGTGCACAGTTCGTGGAATTTCTGAAGGACATCCTGGGTGGGGGTCTACCCCATGAAGCCCCCAGCTTCTGCTGCTTTGTATGAATGCATGGGCTCAGTCCCCCAGTGCTGGCCGTTGAGTGCTGGGACCTCTGTCACTCTGCCCTGAGTGCACCTCGTCACAATTCTCTTCAATTTCTCCAAGCCCGCCTCTCTAGCAGGGTGTCCGATTGGTGGAGCCCAGGTCACATGCCTTTTCCAGCTGCAAAGGGGATGGGGAGAGTGTTTCCGCTTCTGCCTTGGGGAGCCTGAGCTCATGAAACAGAGTTCCTCACCCGTAGGAGTTCCTTAAAGCCTCCTCAATACCTCCTTAATACTTTCTTCTTTTCCGTGATGTTTTCTGTACCTCCTTGTGCAGGGCCCTGCTTGTCCTCTGGGGTCCCCTAGTGCTTGGTGCATGGCTCCGCTGGGGTAGTCATCAAACTGATTGTCAAGACATGTCTGCAGCTGCATCCTATTTACTTTTGTATCTTCATTCACTAGCATCGTGCCTGGTGCAAAGAAGATATTTAGCAAGTGTTTGCAAATGAATAAAGTGAATAAAGTGCAGTAGTTTAATTTTCCCAAAGTAACCCTTTGTGCACATCACCCCCCCCCCTTCATCCTCCAGCGACTGTCTGTTACTGTTATTGAGGGAACTGGACACCCCAGTGCTCCCTGTGTCCTTCAGAATCCCTCTGCCAGGCTCCTCTGCCATCTGAGACCTACCCTCATCTCCAATTGGACTTGGTGCTGTTTTCCTTGGCGTGGTGCTGGTGTTTCTCCTGTGCCTTTACAGATGTGTTCCCCCACGGCACTGGGGATCACTGGATATACTGGCTCCTAATGGGCACTGGGAAAGGCTTGGGAATAAATAGATGTTATGAATCCACTTGCGTTGGAGACACTACAAAGGTCTGCAGATGCTCTGCTCCCCCTGGACCCTCCTTCCTGACTGCCTGTGACAAGCTTGAGCCCATGCCCATGAGGTTGCAGCTGCTCGTCATCTTCCTTCCTGCCTGCCCTGTGGATGTGGCGCTTCCTGCCCAGCCCCTCAATCATGTAAGGCTTGTCCTCATAATAAGTCCATATGTGTATAAATATCTTCCACTGGTCCTGGCCCCTGGTGGATACAGTGGTATGAATGGGTCTTTGGGAGGTGATTTAGGTTTCCTGCCTAGAGAGGGTAACTCCTACCCCCCAACCCCTGACGAGGAGCATCTTCATTATGCATGGCTGTGAAGCCTCTGAACTTGGGGTGTGCGTGGAGAGTACGTGGGAGGAAACAGGAGTCTGTCATGTCCCTCTGCACCTGAGGCTGGAGTAGAAAGAAATGCAAGCTGCATCCTTCCCATCCTGGAATCTCTGTGGCCTGGCCTGGCTTCCATGGACCTGGAGTTCAGGCATCTCTAGAAGAGTACTACCTCTTCTGCTTTACAGGATCTGGTTTCTTGGACTGTCCCTGGGAGCAGCTCCAGCAAAACGCCCCGTATGTACCTGGTCCTCGCCGCACACTCTTGGGGAGGCCTGCTCAGAGCCCATCTGCTGCGTGGGTTTTATTTTGGTGAGAGTCGCATGTTCTTAGCTTTGCTGTTTTCCTGGGGACTAAACAAGGATACCCAAGAACATTCTGTGGACACACTGTTGGGTCAGTACAGGGGTAGAGATAAGTGACCTGCCTGTGGCGGTCAGACACGCAGTGGACACACAGGAACATCAGTCCAGTCCCTGCTGCCTGGCTTGCAGAGCTGCCTGCCTTTCAGCCCAGCCTCCTTCCCTGGGAGGACACAGCTCTGGCCAGTCATTCACCAGGTCAATGGGACGCAAGTCTGTGGCGATTTTAACCTGTGTGGAAACTTTATTGAAAAGGGTCAGGAAGCTGGCAGATGCAGTCACCATTTCCAGTGACTAGAAATGCTGGCACACTCGCAACAGGGTGAGGGCAGTGGGGGGACCAAGGCTGCGCCTGACGAGGTCGTGAGGCATCTACTCAGAAGGTTCTTTTGTTAGAGAATTGTGAGCATTATTCCGTTATTCCAAGGAAGTGAGGTCAGAGAGACAA